GAGCATTCATTCTGGCCAGGGTTCATAATGTCCAGGGTACGCTATGCCCAGTGTCAAAATGGCCAGTGCCTTGAATGGGCCAGAGTTCATAATGTCCAGGGATTGCATGGTCCAAATGTGGCCAACTGGCTGCAGATAGGGTATATTCAAAGAGGCCAGGGTTCATAATGTCCAGGGCACGATGTGTCCAGTGTTCAAAATGGCCAGGGTTCATAATGTCCAGGGCACGATGTGTCCAGTATTCGAAATGGCCAGGGTTCATAATGTCCAGGGCACGATGTGTCCAGTGTTCAAAATGGCCAGTGCCTTGAATGGGCCAGAGTTCATAATGTCCAGGGATTACATAGTCACTGAAAGTGACGTCATTATGTAAAAAACACGGAATCAGCTCAATGCAAAGCAGTGCAGTGCCGAAGGCAATGCCTTAGGAGAGATTACAGGCAATAGTAAATCAAATATTTTTAGGTGTATCTGGCTTCAGGCCGAAGGCCTGAAGCCTGATGCATAACCACTTAACCTAAAAATATTTGATTTACTATTGCTTGCAATCTATTCATGCGAGAAACTATTTCCTTATCCCTGGTAGGCAAACATCATTACCTTAGGTTAGGTTAGGTTAGGTTAGGTTAGGTTAGGTTAGGTTAGGTTAGGTTAGGTTAGGTTAGGTTAGGTTAGGTTAGGTTAGGTTAGGTTAGGTTTGGTTGGGTTGACTATGTAATCCCTGGACACTATAAACTCTGGCCCATTCAAGGCACTGGCCATTTTGAACACTGGACACATCGTGCCCTGGACATTATGAACCCTGGCCATTTCGAACACTGGACACATCGTGCCCTGGACATTATGAACCCTGGCCATTTTGAACACTGGACGCATCGTGCCCTGGACATTATGAACCCTGGCCTCTTTGAATTTACCCTATCTGCAGCCAGTTGGCCACTTTTGGACCATGTAATCCCTGGACAATGTGAACACTGGCCAATTCAAGGCACTGGCCAATTCGAGCACTGGACACATTGTGCCCTGGACATTATGAACCCTGACCTAAATAATACGCACCCAGTCAAAACTACCAACATTCACTCCATTGGACCGTGTGGTTGACCGAAAACGAGCCATGATTACAGTTTTCTTGTTGCTGCCGCGTTTAATTTAAGAACCTGGTCGTTTAATGTTTGTGCTTTGCACTTCGTGTATCTTTCATGGTGCACAGCTCCTGACATAAACGAACCCTGTATTTGAGTGACGTGAAACATAAGGCGAGCCAAGACTGTCGACAAAGTCGCGATTCGTGACCACAAAACTTTTCAAAGTCAAATTAATTTAACTATTTATGACCCTGGACTCGAGCCCAAACCAAACACAATTTCTTTATTTTTTAGAGCACGAAAACTGCCGCGACGCGCTCTGAATTTGACAGCAGTCATTGCTGACGCTCACCTTTTGATCTGGTTTGACTGCCTATGACTGACATTGGCCTGTCGTGACGGGGGGAGGGGGCAGGAGGGGGTCATCCGGCCCATGGGGTGTAGCCCCCCCCCCCTCAGTCAGTGTGGCTGCCAACCCGACCCCTCCCTGTCACCATTGGCTGACGCAGCCCGCCTCAGCAGCAGTCGACACTAGAAATAGCCACGGAAACAGTGACGTCAACCAGGTCGACCATGAGAGATTTGGAGGGAGACGACAAATTGAGACGGAGAGACGGGAGACGACAGTGGAGATAAGAGATAGAGGGACGGGAGACTGGGTGTAGAGGACAGAATCATGGTGTGGGCCGTCATAAACCGTCGATGACTGCTTGATAATCCCACTCTAGAGTAATAAGAAGCACTTGATACAGCCAGTTTTCCTTCTCGTTTGATCATGATCTAGGTAGGTGCATTTTATTTTACGCCTTAAGCCGTATCTTTGCTGGAATTTAAAACTTAACAGGCATGTGTGGTGCATATAATAACCGATAAGCGACTGTTATTGCAAAGCCTAAATAGTAAAACAATAATAAGTATTAGAAAGGGTGCATTGAAGTGAAGAAAAATCCAACCTAGACCGCTCCGTGAACGCGTCGTCGACAGACATCTAGCACACAACTTGGTGACAGATTGGATATCTTGACGTCTGCTTACCAGAGCTCAGGTCTGGAGGGCCTCTGATAGCACCCCCCCCCCCTCCCTCGGGGGTCTGACCTTGACCCCGTACTATCTGTCGCCTGTCTTCGATGACGCCTAGCAGCGTCGGGGGGGGGGGAGGGGGGAGAGGGAGGTTTAGGACTGGTCCTAGTCGCTCAGTGTCGTGAGATTGTTGGGACGTGAGACACCTGTGGACTGGTGTGGGACGTTTAGGTTTCCTGTCCGAGCTGTGAATAGGTGTTTTCGTGATGGAGAGTAGACTTATTACACACTGGAGTCTTGTTAAAGGACTGTGCTAAGAGTGCTATGGGTTTGTGGAGGGTGGAACGCCACTCAAGTGGTAACCGTGCTGCGATTTTCGTCACATCACAAGGGACTAGTAAAATAATATTTTCGGTTCGTTGATAAAAAAAATCGCGGAAAAATGGAGTAGGAGGTCTTACCTAGTGTGGTCGGATGCTCGATAGTCTGTCTGCCAGTCTGTCTGTCTGTGTGTCTGTCTTTTTGTCTGTCTGTTCGCTCTGTCAGTCTGTCTGTCTGTCTGTCAGTCTGTCACTCTGTCGGTCTGTCTCAGTGTTTACTTTAGCTCGCCGGCTGCCAGCCGGGGGCGGAGCACCGCTCACAGCTGGTCCGTCAGTCAGATCTTGGCGCTGGTCGGTGTAGCGCTGTGGACGGTGGACGGGCGCTACTGTGGACAGTGGACGGTGGAAGGGTGCTACTGTGGACAGTGGATGGTGGAAGGGTGCTACTGTGGACAGTGGACGGTGGATTGTGGATGGTGGAAGGGTGCTACTGTGGACAGTGGACGGTGGATTGTGGACGGTGGAAGGGTGCTGCTGTGGATAGTTTACAGTGGATTGTGGACGGTGGAAGGGTGCTACTGTGGAGGGGGACGGTAGAAGGTGGCTCAGTTGAGCGGATGGTGGCAAGTTGTGACTGTGGGCAGTTCAAGAGTAGATTTGTGGATACTGTACAGTGTTAAGGACTGGGAGAGTCTAGCATTCGTGGAACCCGCTGATTTATTGTAAGGCTGTTAGCTCCAGGGTTTGTTTTAAGTGTTCGATTAGTAGTTGAAGGTCAATAATTGAATTGCACATTTAGCGAAGCTTCGGCTACAAAATTGTGCATTTTCAGATACCCAGTAGTGCCGATATCAAATTCCCGTTGTGAGTTAGTCGTCACTCATTGCCCAGTTTGTGAGTTTGTGAGTGACTCTGAGGAGTTATCGTCGCCGGGTGAGGTGTGACAGTGACTGATAGCGGTGTGGCAATATCAGCCCAGCTCGTACCCTGCCAAACAGCTGCCAGCGCCGGGCTGAACTCCGCGGAGACTGAAATCCGCCCCACTCGGCGACAGTAACACAGAGCACTCGCACACACTGGGGCGCTCAGATAGGACGGAGACACACACTGGGCTCTGAGCAGGAGAGAGAAGGGAGAATCTCACTGAGTGAGAGGTGTTCACACAGAGAGTAACACTGGGTGAGATCGAGTGAGCAATCGGTGAGAGTTCCGCCATGTCTCAAACGGTGGTTAGTGTTGTGACTCGGATCAGTTCGGCCACTGCGCCCCCGCCTTCGCGGGCTGCTGTTAAAGGTGAGCACCCCCGCCCCCGCCCCGTCCCGACCCCGACCCCGCCCCCGCCCCCGCCTCCGCCTCGACCTGCCTTCGCCTCGCCTTGCCTCGCCTAGCCTTCCGCAGTTTGTCTCGTTTGCCTCAGCACGATGTTGAATGCCTTCGCGTGAAGCGTTCTAGCTAGAAGTTGACTTGTGCTGAGCTACAGAGCCAAGGCGAAAGGTATTTTGAGCTATAGTTTTGGCTTATTGCCTCTCGTCTTGGCTCAGATGTTTCTTGAATGCGTGAAGGCATGACACCAAGAGTGGAGTCCTGCCTTCAGGTATTAGAGTCCTGCCAAATCTGTTTTATCTGTGTTAAATGTTTTTTTTATATTTTTGGCTTGCTTCATTTGTCGTGTCCGTTCCTTTGACGTTGTCTTTATTAAAAGACTTGGCAACGGCTTTGGAAGGACATCGGTTTAGAAATATCCTACAGCATACGCTCGCATCATTTTTTGAGAGTTTCCTGAGCTTTATTGCCGTTGGACCAGATTTGGCAGCTTCTCTGACAGGATATGGCAGTTCGTGCGTCATTTATTACGTCACACGACTAGAATTGATGACTGGCATGCCTTATGACTCTCGTTTCTTCGTGTTTGTGCATTAGCTCTTTCTTGTCATGCTGCCTGGTGTTCAGACAGAGATGTTGGATATTTATGTATGATTTGTTTGATTTTTACGCTTATTTCATTGATGTTTTGTTTCAGTTGTGTTGTGGTCTTATTTGAAACGTTTTCCCTCGCGTACTGTTTCCCAATTTTGTTCTCATTTATATCCAATTTCGCCCCGTTTATCCAATCTCAAGCTATTATTTTTTTTTTCTTTACTTTTACCTATTGTTTGCTGGATCGTTTTCCGATACGTTTTGTTCCGTTTATATTACAATCTAGTGTGATGTGTGATCATCCTGTGAGTATATCTTAACCATAATGATGCAACTGTGGTGATCAGCCTCGCCTCTCAGATTCATTGCTTGTCGTTTGACGTGATCACATAAACTATAAGCAATTCGCTATTTAGCATTCGTGTCTTTTCTCACGCTCACGCTTTCTTTTCCCCTTTTTCTCTTTACTCTGCGTGTTGTTATGCATTGCTTTACAATTTTCTCTCTCAATCTGGGATTTTTCTCCCGGAGTGCTAGTTTCTCTACTGTGTGGTGTGCTGTGCTTTGCCATTTTGAACGTCCCGCCCGCCGCCGCCGCAGCTAGCGCCACCTTTCTATTAACCCCGCATGTTGTGTTTCTGTGTTTCGCCGCTAGATGGCTGTGCACGCGGTAGCAGCTCGCTGGACTCTGAGGAGGAGGGTAAGCAGTTTGAGATCCTCATCATTCGCGATTAGACGGCAGCGGTGAGACGTCCGAAAATGGCTTCTCAGAACAATGACTAGGCTCCGAGGCACGGGGACAGCTGTTGTAAATCAGCATAGTTGTAAATGTGGAATTGTGTAAAAAGTTCTGGATTTCTGGTTTAATGCCTGTACCATGCCAGTAGCAAGCAATTTATTTAAGTGACCATACAGGATAGTTGTTTTCTGGACGATTGGTACCGAGCTATTCGTTTACACTGTATAATCATGTTGCTCAGTTGGTTTATCAATAGGTATTGGTTATACGATTCGAAATGATGTCGAGAGTTGGATATTATTATTGACACGTTATCCCTACTATCAAGCCCAGCGCCACTGGTGATTGATGTAATATGGACGGCAGTGTTCGTCGCACCTACCTTAAATACTGTCCTCAATGCCAATAGATGCGTCCAGAGAAGATAACTAGAGCTCTACGTTGTAATTTTGTCACGTTGCTATGGTGGCTATAAGAACATTTTCTAGTCTATTTTCTAGTCATTTTCTTAGTCATTTTCTAGTCTAGTCCATTTTCTGGTATGTCGAATGAAGTAGTTAGTGCAATGCTGCGACTGTAGTTGAACTATAAATGTTGATGGACAGGGCCAGATAACAGGAAATGTCAAGGCCGTCCTAGCTATTACGACGGTTGAAAGATAGTGACGACTATGTATGTAGCGAGCCTCCATTTCACTTGATATTTATCGATAAATGCTGGGAAATACATACAATCCTCCGCTGAAAAGTCATGTCAGAAACAGTAATAAATATAGTCGCCCTATCGGTTTCATGCAAGGGAGGGTTGGGTTGGCAGTTGTGTCTGGCGAAGTTACTTCCATGGACTTATCCAACTATCTTAGGTAAGCGGTGCTTTGGTAGGTAGGGCCCTTTGGTAGATACATAAACCATAGATAAAACCATTCGTTTATATGTAGAAATTGATTCAGCCGTATTCGCACAAAATTATCTAGGAGACCGCTGACGGACTTCACGTCGGTAGTTTCTGGCAACCATTTGCACACAAATTCGTCACAGGAAGTATTGTGTTATGCTGAATCATATTTTATTACTTTTTAGACCGTGCATACATTCTTATGCGTAGATGTAGGCCGAAAGTGCGTATTTTATTTTCAGTAGCTTAGGCCCGAAACCCAAGTTGTGGTGACCTTGTAGGTGTTGAAATTTGTATTAGTAAAGCTTACCATTTGGTTAGTTGGAACCAAAGTTTCCAGAAGTTAATTGTTGGAGTCGGTCACTCCGGATGCATTGATATGCAAATCGGGTGTAAACGTTCGGAAAGCGAATCAGGAAGCAAGCAATATGAATGCAATGACTCGATTTAAACTGGACATCAGAATTTATTCATCATTTATTGTGAAAAATTGATAAATCGAAGTCAGGTTGTTATAAGAAGTGTGGAAGGGTTATACGTATGTAAGTTTTTCTCTTTGATCATATGATCTAACTGACTGCCAAGCAACCGAACACGTCAGGTAAGCTTATAACTGAGACCGTCAAATGAAACAAACGGCAAAGAAGCCATTAGGACTCTGTCGTTGAGTGAGATTGACCGTGCTCCAGGGTTTTAAAGGATCGGTTTAGCTGTAGGTCGAATTATATGGCCGTAGTTGCAAACAAAGTTAACAATTCGATACAATTTTAGCAAGTCCATGTTCAACTGAATTAGTTTTTTAACATAAATATACAGTGACGATGTAATTAGATATCCCGATCCTCAACTTCTCTGACAAATATTCCACACTATCCTTCATCCACTTCCGATTTTCCTTCTCCTTCATCAGATGTCTTGTAAACATCCTCCAAACAGTAGCCGATTTTGCAGTAGATGCACAGCCATGACATTGTTTTGCATGTTAGCAGAAAGAATACCAACTTGCGCGTGACTCTAAAGAAACGCTGAATTGTTGCACACAAATCGTAAGCACTGCCGACGTTTGACAATAGTAACACATTTTGTCTAGAGTGGTGGTTCATATCCAGCCAAAGCCCCACGCCTGGCACATAACTGACAGAGACTGCTTACATTTGGGCATCACATCCCGGACACTTGTTTATAACCTTATAAATGTCAGCCATCGAACGCCATCAGCCATCAGCCATCGATATCCGAGGTGTTTACATTATTCCAGTGCTATTATAGCTGGATTATTTGTCGTACCTAATGCCCCGAGTAGTACGTGCTATTTGTCGTTCATTACTGTGGTTGATTGTTAACTCTTGACATGTTTATTTTATCGATTAATTATCAAGTTAACGCTAACTTCATTTGCATTTGTATGTTCTTTTCCATGACGAAGTGCTTATCAACACTTAATCTTGAATTATCTCCTTTACTTCTCGCTGTTGCTTTCATCTCGATCTAACGTTAACACTACCCGCGCCTTGTGTTGTCCACCAGTGACGTCATCACTGTGTATTTGCAGCTCGGAAACAGGAGATCGTGAAACTGACGGAACAACTTGTCGAGGCGATCACAGTTGGCGACTATGAGGCCTATACGTGAGTAGGGGGCCGGGGCGTACCATTTAGAGGGGCCACGGGAGACCCTTGAGGTCTATGCGTGAGTAAAGGACTATGACTTCAATATAGAGAGGGGTGTGGAGGTAGACTACAGAGCCTATACGTGAGTAGAGGACTATGACTTCAATATTGAGGGAGAAGGGGGACACTATGAGGTCTACAAGTGAGTTGAGGACTATAGCTTTAATGTAGAGGGATAAGGTGTAGACAATCTCCGATTTACTCTTTTGTTCCAGTACTTTCTGTTCAATAAATATCATCATCATCACTATGGGTCTAGACGTGAGTAAGAGAGTATGAATTCAATATATAGGGCATTGGTGTAACTAAACAATAGGTTTACATGTGAGTAGAGAATTGGGACTACTATACATATAGAATATAGAGGGAGTAGGAGGCATAAGTCTTATGTCGTAAGTTTGTGGTTTATCGGGAGTTTGTCGTAAGCTTGTGGCTCTCCGCAGAATACAAATGAAGTCAGGCAAATACAAGTAGAGTACAGGTTGGGCCAGGTTTCTATTTAAATATTTGGGTGGTGTTCTTGGATCTTCAAGGTTGCAGGAAGCATTACTTTCATGACATCGCTTTTCTACTTGTTCATTCCCTCTTTCATTTTATCTTCAGATGATTTTTCGTTCATTCATTAATTCATTCATTCATTCATGCAAAGCTCAAATAAGCATTATTTTAGCTCGCCCACAAGTCATTTATTCATTAATTTATTCATTACTTTATCTGTATCCTTTTTTCATTCATTCATACATTCATTCATTCATTCATGCATGCATGCATTCATTCATTCATTGGGCATCATTTACACGCGATAACAAGACTGTCATATGGTCTATCCTGCTCTCTCAGATTTCACTCATTCATTCATTCATTTCGTTCATTGATGGTGACCTATCATGACCCTTCGATGACCCTTCGATGACCCCTCGGTGACCTCTCGTTGACCTGTGGTGTTCCAGGAAGCTGTGTGACCCTCACCTGACCTCGTTCGAGCCAGAGGCGCTCAGTAACCTGGTGGAAGGCATGGAGTTCCACAAGTTCTACTTCGACAACGGTAAGTGACAAACACGGTTTGCGATCGGTTGTAGGTGGCAGGTGCAGGAGGCTTTTTAAGATTTGCGAGGACGAGGTCAAATGTTCATCGAGACAACTAGGTGAACGTAACGTTAACAACATATATAAACGAAAGCTTCCATTAAAAGATAAAGCCGTGTCAAAAAACGTTTTATACATTAGCTGTTCTATCATATTAACCCGCGCCCGGCTGGGGGTCCTGGATTTCCACGCCCTGCTGGGGGGGTGTTTGAACACCCCCCCTTGTAACTCGGCTCCTGGGCCACGTAGCGATACGCGGAAGGCAGCGTTCGAAAGAGCGTCAAAAATAATGACGAAATCACTTCGGTCAATTTTTTGGTCAGGTCAAAGGTCAGGTCACCAGAGGTCATTGAAGGCAAAATTTCGCCGATTTCCAGGTCGAATGTCGAAAATTTCCAAGAAGCCAACGCATAACTTGAGAACCAATAGAGCTACAGCGCCGCGGAAAAGCGCATTCGATAGCCCTATTAAAGCCCTTTCTGAGTAATTCTCTCAGATTTGACCTAACGTCAACGGTTTTGCCTGCAGGGGGCAAAAATTGCAAAAAATAGCCGATTTTTTCGGAAACAGTTTTTCTGCAATAACTTTTGACCCAAGCCTTGTACGAGCTTACTTTTACCGGCATTGTGTTCCTCTCGTCAAGACGCATCGAATGAACTATAAGTTGACCTTGAAAGGTCAACTTGAAAATTTGACCTCAGGTCAAGGTCATGACCTTACCGGAAAGGGTCATGTTGCATATCAGTCGATCCGTATCGTCGAGCTGAACACATCTGAGGCGTTTTCTTCGCTCTAGCATGCCTCTATCAAAAGTTATTTGCGAAAAACTGTTAGATACCATTCGTGACCTAAGATGACCTCAGGGCATAAACAAGGGTCACGGACACCATTTTCATGTTCAGTGTGTCTAAACCACTTGTAATTCGGTGTTTGGGAGTGTTTATAATGTCTTTTGTCCAAAACAGGCGCATTTCAATTTTCTCCCATTGACTTATAATGGGGAGGTCGCAAAATTGACCTGACCTTAGGTCATCGACATCAAAATTCTGAGATATACATTTTGTACATGCTATTGCTCTTAGCAATCGCTGAAAGTTTCAAAGCGATCGGTCACTCTGTGTAGCTATGACAGACATTGAAACTTTTTATGAGGTGAGGTCACTTCAAGTGACCTGGTGACCTGACCTTGAATGACCTTGGTCTGAAATTTTCACAACATGTGTAGAATTGATGTACGATAAGGTGTACCAAAAACGGCGGCGCTCCGCGCCGCCGTTTTTGAGATATTCGCGAAAAACCACAAGGGGGGGGTGTTCAAACACCCCCTCCCAGCAGGGCGCGGGTTAAATGGGTAGAAATTTTTATTTTGTAGCCGTAAAGTGTTCATTCCTAGTTGACTCGTCTCTCACCTTTTCGTCGATAGCATTTGTTCATGCTTCATAAGTCTGTTTTTAACTGGCAGGTGGTGTCTCTCCCATCATTTTTTCGTGTCTTCCCCATGAATTCGTCTTATTTAATCGGAATTATCCTCTCACATTTCCTGTTATTTGCTATCTCCATTCCCATTATTTTGTTTTATCTAGAGCATTTCTGGTTCTCTCGCTACTATTTCATTTTGTTTCATGCCTATTATGTCGTCTTATCTGACCCATCTCTGGTCGCTCCGCCAGCAGTGTTGGGCAAGTTCCGGAAGGCAATCAACACCACTATCCTGAACCCTAACGTTCACCTGCTGGGGGACGAGGCGGCCTGCATTGCCTACGTACGGCTCTCGCAGTATATTGACAGGTAAGGAAGGGGTCGGAGTGAGGTGGGGTGGGGGGGGGGGGGGGGGGTTATATTGACAGGTAAGGAAGGGGAGACGGGGGTGGGGTGGAGGTAGGGGTGCGGCTCTCGCAGTATATTGACATGTAAGGAAGGGGGAGACGGGATGGGGTGGGGGTAGGGGTGCGGCTCACGCAGTACATTGACAGGTAAGGAAGGGGGAGACGGGATGGGGTGGGGGTAGGGGCTGCGGCTCGCTCCAATCTCAGTATATTGACAGGTAAGGCATGGGGAAACGGGGTGCTGGTGGGGGGCGTACATTGACAGGTGGGGATAAGGGACAGGGTTGAGGTAGGGCGAGAGGTGGCTGTGGCTCGCTTACTTGCCATGACGTTGACAGGTATGACATGGGAACAGGGGTATGGTGTATGGTGGGGTATGGTGAGTGGTGGGTTAGTATGGCAGGCGGTGGTGTGGGACGATCCTTTGGGGTGGTTTGAGTTGATTTGATGTAAAGTGGCTTGATTGATCTTGCCTTTTCTCAAATGTCTGCACTCTGGAGTAAAATATAGTTCCACACTGAAACAATCAAATAGTTTGATTAATTCTAGTTACACTTGAGTTGTCATATTTGTTTTATCGAAAACATACGTGGTTGACGTCTCTTTCATTAACCTCTTCTCCAATTCCATATTGTCTTACGTTGTCATGTTGCCTTGAAGAGACATCATATTTTGTCTTCTGCTCAACGGACTGTTGTCTTTCCTTTTTTCACTGACTCCTATCCTTTCCTTACTTTCGTTCTGATGCCTTCTCTGACTCGTATCTTTCCTCTGCAGATTATGTGTTAACTTTTCTATCTTTCTCCCCCCCCCCCAACCAGTGTCAAACTTCATCACCTTCTGAGCGCCTACCTGACCTCTGTCTTACCCACCGACCACAGGCCAAACTGACCTCTATCTTACCTACCGTCCACAGGCAGGGCTGACCCCTATCTTACCTACTGTCCACAGGCCAAATTGACCTCTATCTTGCCTACCGTCCACAGGTCTAGCTGACCCCTATCTTACCTACCGTCCACAGGCAGGGCTGACCCCTATCTTACCTACCGTCCACAGGTCTTGCTGACCTCTATCTTGCCTACCGTCCACAGGCAGGACTGACTACTACCTTTCTTACCGTTCACAGGTCAAGCTGACTCCCTATCTTACCTACGGTCCACAGGCCAAACTGACCTCTATCTTACCTACGGTCCACAGGTGGTGGGTCGCTACAGGTCTAGCTGACCCCTATCTTACCTACCGTCCACAGGCAGGGTTGACCTCTATCTTGCCTACCGTCCACAAGTCTAGCTGACCTCTATCTTACGTACCGTCCACAGGCCTAGCTGACCTCCATCTTACCTACCGTCCACAGGCCAAACTGACCTCTATCTTACCCACCATCTACACTCTACACTCTACAGGTCTAGCTGACCCCTATCTTACCTACTGTCCACAGGTCTTGCTGACTTCTATCTCTCCTACCGTCCACAGGTAGGGTTGACCCCTATCTTACCTACCGTCCACAGGCAGGACTGACCTCTATCTTACCTACCGTCCACAGGTCTAGCTGACCTCTATCTTACCTGCCGTCCACAGGCAGGGTTGACCCCTATCTTACCTACCGTCCACAGGCAGGGTTGACCCCTATCTTACCTACCGTCCACAGGCAGGGTGTGCCTCACACTGAACAGGCCGAGGAGACTCGCGTCTGGCACCGACACGACGGAAGGTGGCAGCACATTCATTTCCACCGCTCGCAGAACGGCTCCAAGTAATCCGCCACCGCCACCGCCAACGCCCAGAAACGCCCGAAAACGCCACCGCCCGACGCCCGACGCTCGACGCCCAGAAACGTTCGACCGCTGCAGACCCGCAGAGAAAGAGAGAAAGAGAGAGTGGGGAGGTCATGTGATCGATTTCCATGTAGGTGTTATGTGTTCTCGCGCAATAGCCGCGAAGGAGCTAGGCGGGGTGTGGGTGTTTTGTGATTGGTGGGCGCGCGGCGAGCTCGAACGCTGATTGGTGGAGCGCGGGCGGGCTGAGCGCGGATTGGCCGGCAGCCGTCGGTTAGGTGTCTGTTGATTGGTGGAGCGACTGGCTCCGTGTTCGCTGATTGGTTGTTGGGCCGGCGCGCTGCCCGCTGATTGGTCGGCTGCCGGCCGTGCTGTGTGCTGATTGGCTAGCCGGTCGGCCGGCTGATCGCCGATTGGCCGAGCCGAAAGCCACATCTAGTCGAGGAGTCGGCGGCGAAATCAAAACCAACGCAGCTGCTGTCCTCGCGCGGCGCCCCTCCGCCGCCGAACTTTGACGGTCGGCCGCTAGGTGGCAGGCGCGCCGCCGCCGCCGCCGCCGCCGCCGCTCGGATTTGATGGCTTTTTATTGTGCCTGCAATGTCCGTACTTGCGCCGGGGAGCGCGCGCGTCCTGTCTTTAGGTGGTTCCCCTCTCATTCTGCCCACCCGCTTGGGACTGTATTTGTGTGTGCGTGCAATGGTACAGGGTGCGCCAGCCAGCGGCGTCGGCTGTATTGATGCTAGGACGCGTTTGGACAGTCTCCACCCCTTTGCTTGTGGTCTTATCGAGAACTTTGTCCGGGTTTTATTATATCTGGTCTCTGACGCGAGTTAGCTTGAGGCTGATTGACTGAACTATTCTGGCCAGCCGCATACAGGCAATAAGCCATTCATTACCCAATACTCTGCGTCCGTAAAGCTGGGTGGCGACTGCGACTGTGGCGCCGCCCTGGCGGCGGGTGACCGCAGTCGTAGTACCGACCGCCGCCGCCAGATGCCATGCTGGCCGCTGATGTGGTTCTCTTCGGGCCCGAAATGTTGGTGATGTTCTTAACTATCGTAGTCGGTAGTGAGTGAGTGAGGCCGCCCGCGCGCTGTGGGCGGCTCCGCCCCCGCCCCCGTCCCCGCCCCCGCCCCTCAGTCTGGTTGTCTGCGCCGCGTGTGTTGCGTGTGCGTCGTTTTCGCCAACTCTGGCGCGGCGTGAGATGTGTCGATTCGAGAGAGGGAGAGAAAACGAGCGAGAGTGTATGTCTGTTCGTTCGACGTGGAACGGGCTGAGACAGAGGGATGGAGGAGTGGAGAGAGTTACGGAGAATATTGACGTGAGCAGGAGGTTGATTTAGGTTTGGGTGGTCGTATGGTGCCCACTGAGACTCTTACGGACCTTTTTGAGGTATTGATGTTGGGTGTTTTATCGACCTATTTTATTCACAAAGTGCATCGCTAAATAAAGATAGACTCTCTACGCACAATGGAGTTTCGCTTTGGCAGCTGGTGGGGTTTATCGGAGTAGGTGAGATTGAGAACATATTTGCGAAGGGCTCGTTCGTAAATTGTATCAATATGGTCAGCGAAATGGAATCATAGGCTCCCAATTCAAACTGATGTAGTCCGAAGGGAAGTCACGTTTTCGTTAGTAATTTACCCCGCGTTCGATGTCTCTCGGACGACGAAAATTCTACGTCGTCCGGCCAATGCCGCCCAAGGTCAGCGGGGGCTCATCTGCGGTTATGGAACGTGATTGGCCGGACGGCGTAGAATCTTCGCCGTCCGAGAGACATCGAACGCGTGGTAAGTATGTTTCAGCGTTTTTGACGATTACTTTGTGATTCTTGTTTGGGTAAGCCTTTTAGCCCTGCAAATGAATGTTCATGCAAAACCACCGGACGTATGTAAAATATTGTACGACCAAACACTTTCTTTGATTTTATTTTATTTCGTATAACACGCGTGGTCCATAGAGATCTGACGAATAACTTCCAGCAACAAGGTGGTAGCGAACATCCGGTAAAAAAAAATCAGACAGTCGGCTAACTTAAAAAGGGTTTCAAAAATGACTTCTGGCTTCTATGCCCACACCCTAGCTAACCTGATTGATACAGGTGGAACAAAGTACGAAGTGCAGTCAATGATTACAGAGCGCATGCTGCATATGGGTGTTATTGTAAAGTCTCTGTCGTTTTATTCGACATAGAATGTTATCTGGACGGAAAACCGCGCGCAGCTCGAGGTCACCTCTTTCATGCGTCAGTGTTCTATTATGACGTCACAAAATCGAAAGAGGCTTCGCCTGACTGCTGGTTCAAACCGATTTGAGCCTTACATATAGTTTTTCGACTCCATGTTGCTGTACCATGTAGCTATGCGGTGCAATTCGGATAAAGAGAAAGACCAATCAACCTCGAGGCTCGAGTTCAGAACAATGCTGCTCCTTAACAGCACCGTCGCCTCGCGAAGCGCTAGCCTCGATCGCTTCGCGAGGCGATACGCGATATCGGTTCACCTCTTCACTTCTTAGAGCGGAATCGAGTAGGTGGGCGGGTTGGCCAGGTATTTCTTAACACCATCGATTTGCAGGACGGCGTCCTTCAGGGCCGTCAGCTTGGGGTACTTGGCGATCAGCTGCGGGTTGATCTCGGCGAACCGGGAGAGCCAGTGTCCGAGGAAGACGTCCTGCCAGATCGGCTGCGGGCGGAACAGCGGCGTCAGGAAAAAGTCCCGAAATGGTAGCTAAATCGTGCACTTTTCGTTTGTTTCTGTCAGTTGTAACTAGCCACCGTTTTGACCGTCCGACGCTCGTAATTTAAGGCAGAATGTCATTACCGTCATTACGAAAATCGTCGGTTTCAGTTTAGAATGACGGATACGTTGTCAGAAAAATATTCATCTTGGGCCAAAGCAGGTAACAAAACTGAAAGACGAGTCTGTGGATCGTGACTATCCAAAGTTTCCACACTATGCCGATAGGTGGCAGGGTTATCGTGTCGCGCGATCACGTGACTGACCGCCCCGGGGCAATGCGGCTGGCCATTCGGGTTGCGGCGCGGGTCAGGGGCGGACGTGGGGCTATTGTTCCGTGGTGTGGGAATGCTAGCTTTCAATCAGTTTAAGCAGATTGAAAGAGAAAATGTTCTTGGTGATCGTTAAGAGGTAAGTAATGCTTCGGGCCATACAACCGACCGTCTATGTCACAACCGAGCGTCTTTTTCACAACGAGGGACTTTACTCGGGCATTCGTTATCAGCCAAGGGGAAAGCCGGACTCTCTATCAACTTACAACTCCTCTCAACTACATCTAACAACCTACTTCTCACACACACGGTTTACTCCTTACCACCTACATTTTCCAAATTCATTGAGGGGTCACATAGCACAGATAAGTGCTATAGAAGCTTTTGTATGCAAAAAGAAATGAAGGATTCTTCCAAGCTGGGCGTTATTCAATATTTAATTAAACACAAAATAAAGTGAATAAATCTAGCTGACAGCTGACTTCTTGGACACAGTCATAGGTTCATAGCGCTTTTTAGATATATCGTTGTTGGTGTTGAATGCGTACCTTATCATCGGTGAAGAACTTGGTCGACATACGCGACTCCCAGAGGCCGAAGATCTTGGGCATCGTCTCCTCAAAGAGCTTCTTCTCGTCCGCAGCCTTCTTTTCAGCATCCTTCTCGAACCTGGTGAGTGAAGCATTAGCATTCCCTTAGCATCGTTAAGTTTATCCTAAACTTGACCTAGCAACGTGAATGTTATCGTGTCGTTTGGGGGTCTACGTTTGAAATTGGTAGAAATATATTCTAGCCTTTCCACAGACATTAAACTTCATTTCCTCAAATTGTCTGGCGTTAGCTAGCTCAAATAAGCTGAATGATTATATTGCATCTCGTCCCCTCCATCCTTAAGGGGACGCAGAACAAATCGCTATATGTAGAAGCAGTTCAATCCTCTCCCATTTCGTCCCATCCCATCCCATTCCATTTCATCCCCCCACCCACCCCCCACCCCACCCCACTCACATTGTGCTGAAGAAGGTCGAGCAGAGCTCCGCCATGGTATCGGCTGCCTCGTCACCCAGGGCGTTCTTGAAGGGATCGGTCGACACCAGTCCCCCGATGGTTCCGGCGTAGCGGGCGATGGCCAGGGTCTGACACAGCGGCTTTCCGTTCACCTCCAGCAGCGGCACGCTGCCGTATGGCGTGGCTGGAAAAGAGAAAGTGCAGCTTAGAAAAGGTTTGGAAAAGGTAGAATGGTATGATGTTGAGTGGATGGGGATGTGAGAGGATATAAGTTGGAACGGCATAACTGGGTTGGCGGGAAGGAGAGAAAGTTCGAACGTTACAATATGGAATAACTGAGGGAGAGTTAAGCTAGAAATGTATGGTATTTGATGTTTGTGGTCCTTGTTGGGGTAGGTAGAAAGGAGGTTAAAGCGGCACAATATGGGGTGTTTGTTTTTTTTCATCCGAGGAAACAGCGAACTTTTGACATCAGTTTCGGACGTTGTGGGAGGGGCAGATTCCTAAATGTCCCCCGCTATTGTTGTATTGTCCCCTGCTAACATCTGCTAATGTTTGTTGCCACCATAAGTATTTGTGTCTTTGCATGTCCACCACTATTCATCACTGCTATAATTGTGACTGCAACTTCATAAATCTTGTCACTACAGCCATGAACCAACACCAATGGTCGGCACCAATAAATCACCGGCAATGGTCGTCCAATTTCAATACTCTTTGTGCACCATTGGTGAAAGAAGTTCCTTGAAAAGGTGCTAGTGAGTAGTGACCATGAGCCAAGCTCGTGATAGTTATACAACATGGGGGCTGTTCGATATTAGGGCATAGGCACCAGGTGGTCTGAAGCACCCAGGGACGCATGAGCGATCATGCAGGGCCTGCATGGGTCGCCTTTACGCTGTTGATAGCAGTGAGGTCAGGTGCCTAGCAACGCATGAATAGGTGTCAGGGTACCAGGCCAACTCCTAGCAGACACACAGAATAACGATTGAAGGAACATAAGACGAACAAAGAACGCTCAGAAACGGACACCGATCACTGTCGTGTGAAGCTAACCTTACATAAAGAGCCAGTGAGTGTAAAATATTTGGCGTTTGAGATGTGTATTAGAAGCAGAAGCTATGCGTCCTCGGTCCTGCAATACCTAAAATGTAGTAGACCTACACTGTAAAAAATATTGACGAGCTATGTGTCAAAACAAGGGTCTCGAAACAGTCACCAGGTTGTCAATGCTTCCGGTACCTACCACTTGACCAGTTACCGCTTAGTTAGCTTACAGGCTCAGAACTATCCAGATCGTTATGATCCGGTATTGTAATGATACCCTAGGTGTACCTTTGTTTTAAAGTGCTGAATTAACTATCAAGGTTGTTTGACGTTTGTTTTCGCCTCAATCCGAAACGAGGAAGACCCTCATCAAATTATTAGGTGAAAGCCAGCCTCAGGATGATCAAAATACTAGGGGTAGTTTTGTCATAGTAATCTGTGAAGGGTGAGGAACAAGCCGTAGCAATGCACTCGTCACTAAACCAGCCTGAGATTATTCGCCAGGTAGCTGCTGCGTTTCCCTACTTGCTGAATCATGTTAGCAACTTTCCATTTCCAGACACTTTTTACGGCAAATAAATTGTTGGGTTATTTGGAAGGTGAATGACAATTTTATTTCTATAAGTCGATACATTTGTATTTCCGATTGCCCTAAAACTTTTTTTTTAATCGTTTGCAGTAGGTTTTTATTGTTCGCAATAAAGTTGCGCACCTGTGAATCCTTCACATAATGCGTTCCCGGCTTCCCGGCGCCAGTTGCGCTGTGCCGTGCCGCGTTCGGTCGGGGGTGCGAGCGTCTGTGAAGTGCGAGTGTTTATTAACTATCATGATTCAATATGCTGATGACACCCAGGTGCTAGTGTCTGGATCACCTCACGACCTGGTTGATATGGTCGATCGTCTTCAGGTTTTGCTTAAAAAGTTAAGGACTTGGTTCTCACAAAATCACCTATCACTGAATGTTGCTAAATCACAGGTTATTGTTTTTGGCTCCAAGGTTATCTTGAAACGGATCGACCTGAAGAGCATACAAATATTTGATACCGTCGTGCCTATCAAACGGTCCGTGATCAGTTTGGGTGTGACACTTGACAGCTGTCTCACATGGAGCAACCACATTGACACAATTACGGGTAAATGTATCGGCATGCTAATCCGTTTGAGTCAGCTGCGCCACATGATGCCTTTAAAAACTATTGTCCTACTGATAAACTCGTTAGTTTTGCCGCATATGCGTTTCTGTGTTTCAGTGTGGGGAAATTGCAGTATGACTCAAGCAAAAAGAATAGCTAAGATTGTTAAATTTGCCAGGCGAATCGCGGGTCGCGAAGGCAAAAGTGTGGCATGGCGTGTTGATCTTGTCACGGAATATAAAATTGCTGCTCTTAATATTGTCCGCCAATGTCTGCTTTTTCCTGAAAGTACAACGCCTCTCGTTTCGACGCTTTTTATGACACGACAATCTGAACGTAACACAAGACAATCAGAGAACCTTGATCTTTTTGCCCCAAGAACGGAATTCATGAAAAATTCTCTTTCTTACCAAGGCTCTAAGCTTTGGAACAGCTTGCCCCCTCAAGTGAGGAACGCCTCAAAGAATGAAGTAATAAAATACATTCTAACTAAGGCAGACATTGACAAGCCATGATTATCGGTCATATGCTCGTACTTATACAATGTATCGTTTTAACGTGTGCAATTGCCAGTGTTTCATTTGATGTCACTCGCCAGTCACTGCACTATACGTTTGAGGACTACTTCTTTGTATCAGGAGGATATTGATATGGTGGCAGTTTGAGTCTGTTCATGTAACGTGCATGCAGCCTGTAGGTAACATGCATAGGTAATAGGTATGTTCATACGTGGATCATGTAAAGTGTTGTGTACCTGGTGAACTGTATGTATGTACCTACCTCGTGCCTATTTTCACCGTAACGCCCACGTTTCTGTGGTTGGTGAAAATAAATGAAATAATAATAATAATAATAATATTACTAGATGGCCATGTTTGCGCGATAACTGTATAGATTCGATAGATATTGTTAATGGGGGCATTAGTTTGGGTGTATGAGGTTATATTTTTATTTGTATGAGCTATGTGAAGTTTGACATTTGGTTTTAATTGAACTGTATGGTATGCTGGTGCTGATTACCGGGTTGTTTGAGTCTTTCGGATGTTGGGCCCTTATGCACTCAAACTTAACATACACTACAATACCCTACCCTACCCAGGATGGATGGATGGATGAACGCGATAACTGTACGTTTCGATGGCAATTTTAGGGTTTGAGTAGGGGTAGGGTATGAGTAGGGGTAGGGTATGAGTAGGGTAGAGTGTGTATGGTAGGGTAATTTCAATAATTACCCCTACTCAAACCCTACCCCTACTCATACCCTACTCATACCCTACCCCTACTCATACCCTACCCCATAATTTCAATGTTAGGCCCTTATGCACTCTACCCTACCATACACACTCTACCCTACTCATACCCTACCCCTACTCATACCCTACCCCTACTCAAACCCCTACTCAAACCCTTTTTAGCCACGACCTTGATTTGTCGCATAGCAACGGGACACGCAACAATAGTGGTAAACAATTTCAGTTGGCAATTTCAATGTTAGGCCCTTATGCACTCTACCCTACCATACACACTCTACCCTACTCATACCCTACCCCTACTCATACCCTACCCCTACTCAAACCCTACCCCTACTCATACCCTACTCATACCCTACCCCTACTCATACCCTACCCCTACTCATACCCCTACTCATACCCTACCCTAATCATACCCTATGATAACGTTATGGCGCAAAACGGCCGCCCGCCGCCAAACGCTAACACGCAAAAACGCACAAAATGCACGCTCAAAACACCAACGCAAACGTCGCAATAAGAAAAAAAAACAGTGCTGCAAACCACAAACAGCACCGCAAACGCCGCAAAAGAAGAAAACCGCCCGCATCGCACGCCCAACCGCCGCCAATCGGAAACGCCGCAAATGCCGCCGGAAACGCTGCAAAAAGCCCTACCCTACCCTACCCTACCTATACCCTAGCCCTACCCCTACCCCTACCCTACCCTACCCTACCCTACCATACCCTACCCATACAGTTGGAGCCGAAATCAGATTTAACTCAATGCTTAATTAAGTGGTCTTCCTGTTACAGCATATTTGTTTTAGTGTTGATTCCGATTTCCGATTGATGTTTGGAGGCAGAAATAGATCAATTTAACGTAAAAAAGAAGCGCCTGCGCGAAACCGTGAAATGTACCAGATTTGGGCCTCAATGTACCAGCGTACCAGAAAATGTTAAAATGTACCAGATCTGGTACAATCGTACCATAGCGGCAGCACTGCGGCCGCCGCTCAACCGGTAAAAATGCGTCGAAAACGGTACAATCATTGCTCTGTTTCTTAGAGCCATTGATAACTTTTTGAAAATATTTTGGGTGGATATTGATCAGAAAAGAGTGCTTTTTCAATATATTAAGGACTTATAGCCATAAGTCTACGTTATCAATATATTATGATGTTGTAAAGGTGAGCGCGCCTGTTTCACGTAAAACTCGCAATTTGTAAGCGTTTAATGATAAAAATGTGCGAGTGAATGGGCAAAAATATATGTTTTCTGAACAGTTCAGATCCTCTTGTAGTCCGTGAAATGCATCCCGTGTCATTCCAATGCATCGTTTTCAAATGCCAACGTTTTTCCTGAAATGTGTAAAAAATGCCGGTTTTCTCGAGATTAGAGGCTATTTCTTTGCACGTGGTACATACCTAAGAAAAAAACTTGTTGCATACGATGGGCCCATCTCTTCTGTATCCATCAGTGAAAACCGCATGTCGCTGCGACTTACGGTTACCGAGATATAAGCTCGGGAAAGGAGCGCTGCAGGCCCGATTTTCGCCCGTTGGCGGTTTTCGCCGGCCACGTGTTAAGCCTACGGGAGCACCCTTTTGCACGTGCCGACGGCGCACCCCTGGCCCGATCACGCCCAAATTTTAATACAAAGGCCGCCCACGCCCACAGATTCGGCATGCCAAATTTCACGCCGATACGCGGCGCCTTTCAGGCGCAATAAGACACATAAGACATGACACACGGATGGATGGAGATTGGACGGAC